CAGAGCCTATGCTTTTATTCCTACTATAGTGCCTACACTGAAGTGATTTGACCAAGGTCAATAGCTAGTAAGTAGTAGAGCCATTTCTAGTTTATTACAACTTAAACCTCCTGACTTCTGGCTCATTGCTTTTCCCAACACACACTTCGAAACGGCTCTCACTTCTGCAGGATCCAGTCATTTCTGTGCATTGTCAGTTCTGCAATATAACTGTTATAAATAGCATTGGGGAAAGCTGTCCCTCTATCCTTACCAAAGGAGTTGTAGCTTGCACATCCATATACAGAGGTCGCAGCATTGACTCCGCCTGTGGGGCAGTGGCTGTATCTGAGGGAACAGCCGACTGAGGAGAATGGTCTACAACTGACAAAAAAAAAAAAAGGTATGAAGTGGCCAAGCGTGAGAAAACCTATGGACGCAGGGTATCCAAGACAGAAGGTGAAAGCTGGATGGAGGTGAGATGAGCTGAAAGGATGCTGGGGTTGAAGCTCAAAGGAAAAGAAAAAAACATCACAGAAGTTAAACTGTAAAAGAAAGGGAGACAGACCATGCATGATCTTGGAGGGGGATGTTGGGACAATATTCGAATTGCTTCGTTGGGAGCTGGGAGGGATCCGAAAGGGCAAAGCCATTTACAAGGACTGAGGAGACAGAGTAGGTAAGATCTCCCTCAAAGATTACTGGCTGGATGACTAGCATCTCTTAAAGTTGGCCAGGAGAGGTCTGAAGGCCGACCGAGCTTCCAAGGATCCGAGGGCCTGTGGGGCAGGATCTAAAGGGCGACGCGGCGGAGTCAATGGGTCTGAGGGCAAGCCTGGGGAAGTCTGAGGGGTGCAGCCAGAAGGCAGGTCAGGGGGTCTGGGTAATGGGCGGAAGAGGGAGGCTCCGTTAATACTCAGGTGCGTCGCCACCCCAAGGGGGAAGGTCCGCGCCTGCAGGGACGGTGGCGGCGAGCAGGGCCCGGAGCGTACCGCGCAGGCGCAGCCCCCGAGTGGGAGCATCGGACTTGGGCCCCGGAGCGACCGGCACAGCCGCAGCCACCCGCCTCCAAGCGGTTCGCAGTAGCATGGTCCCGCAGGCAAAGCCCCCCGCCCGAAGCGGCGGCAGTCCTCAGCTACGCGGTCCCGGAAGTTCTGCTCCGTGCCCCGGAAACAATTCCTTCCACTGCGGACGCGCTCCGCCTCGCGTTCTGTGTGAGACGTAGAGCTGAGCGACCGAAGCCGCGAGCGAGGTGAGGTGGGGGGCGCCCCGGCGCGGGGACCCGAACGCTAAGAGGGTGATGGAGTCGGGCTACGCGCTTCTTTTCCTCTCTGGACTTCCCCGAACCCTTGGATCCGCTCCCCACCCTCCTCCTCCGGCCCCAGCCCAACTCGGGCAGGCGGCTAGGCCCACACTCCCCTAACCTTCGAACCCCGCAGATGCCGGTGGCCGTGGGGCCCTACGGACAGTCCCAGCCGAGCTGCTTCGATCGCGTGAAGATGGGCTTTGTGATGGGCTGCGCAGTGGGCATGGCGGCCGGGGCGCTCTTCGGCACCTTTTCCTGTCTCAGGTGAGGGGCGCGGGCGGTGATCTCTGGGCGGGACTACCGGACCTTCCCGTCCCGCGCCACTTGGCCGGTAGCCTGGATAGAGCCTACTTCAATTCCCTCGCTGTCGTTTAAGGAGCGAGACTGATTTCCTACTCACCTTGCCTCGGCGCTTGAGAATACGAGTTCTGATTCAAACAATGTCAGAAAATTTGACTCTACTCCTGTAACCTTAAGCACGTTAGAGTCTGGGTTTCCTTAAGTGTAGAAAGAGGTCAGTAGTATCTACCTCATAGAGTTGTAAGGATCAAATCAGAGCAAACTTAGGACAGAATGTGGCATTAAGTGCGCAATAAATGGTTGTTGCTGCTGTCGCTGTTTTTTCCAGTTGCGCATAGTGAAACAAAGTTGAGCAATTTTACTGTACTGCAAACAAGGTATAGATACGGGAGCAGATAAACTCTACACCTACATCCTAAATGTCATTTTCACATGTAGTAGAGATTATTATTCCCATTTTTCCACGATGTAAGTTACCATTTACTGAGCACTTACCCAGTGTGAATCACTGTTCCAAATGCTGCATGTGTTCTGTGGTTATGATCCCCATTTTAGTTAGCACAACCTGTAAATTGTAGAGCTGGGGCACGAACACAGATCTGACTCCACAATCATTGCTTTAAAACCAGGAAACCATCAGAAAGACAAATTGGAGACTGTGGGTGTGTGTGTACGTATATATATCCTGGAGGTAAAAGCAAAACAAAAAACTAGTTTCTCTATATACTTTGCATCAGTTGCCTCCCACAAGCTGAAGGCAGGTCATAGGATATTCATCAGAATACCCCTAGAGACCCTGATGCATCTTTTTTCTAGTCATTACCTGCCTCGGGTGGGAATAGATAATGTCTTGCACAACTTCAAGAGTGCTTGATTTACTTTGAAAACAAATTGGAAAAGGGCAGTTAATGCTGTTTCTTGTATTTTTATTCCCAGTTGGCTCCATATTTTCTTCCTCTCTTAGGATCGGAATGCGGGGTCGGGAGCTGATGGGCGGCATCGGGAAAACCATGATGCAGAGTGGCGGCACATTTGGCACATTCATGGCCATCGGGATGGGCATCCGATGCTAATAAGGGCAGTGGTTGCCCAGTACAGCTACTCCTTCCCATCAGTCCCAGCTCATGTACTATAATAAAACAAGTCTTTGAGTAGTTGGAGTGTTAAAGGCATTTTTTCTTCTTTCTGCCTATACCCAGCTTAGAGAAAGCTGCTGAGATGGGCCAATGAGTAGGTTTGGGGTCTGTTTCTTAAATCCAGTCTTTGTTAATCCAAAGTTAGAAAAATTTTCCATGCCTGGAACTTTGTGTAGATTCTAATAAACTCTTGTTATTCAGCCCCATAAGGTTGATGCTGTTCTCACCATTTTAAAGGTGAAGAACTAAGTCTAGATTTCCTCAAAGTTGCACTGCAAAAGGTAGTGTTAACCCAAGTCTCATTTCCAAAGATATGTTCATCCTTCAGGTTTTGTGCAGACTTAAGCAGAAAAAGAACCATCCACTGGGAAACAAACTGACACAATATAGCTTAATGGCATAAACCTCCCAATTTTCTAACCAGCCATCCATGAGGATGTCAGTTGTATAAAATGACCCAACCCCCCACATACAATTCTGTTAATTGGGTTCCTAAGGTAGGTTCCTTGTAATAAGGACAAGTGCCTCTCCCCTACTCTGGCCACACAGCCCTTGACAGATTGTGCTTTAAACTGCATTGCCCCTCAAGGAAAATGGTAATGTTATGATGGACATAAACTACACTGGCATATTTGGGGGGGTCATGAGGACACTACCAGAATAGCTACAACAGCTAGATTTCCCAGAGTGGGATGTTCTCTCAGGAATGGATTACCTGTTAAGATTCACTGAGAATTCATTTATTTTCTGTCACACTATTCAAGTTACTTTTATTACATTTGCTTTAATATCATTTACAACCCAAATTCCATTCTGTGGCAGTGGGGAAATTTTCTTTTGCCACCTCTTTTTAACATTCATCTTTGCTGGCCCAGCTCCCTGGAAAATGACAGAACAAAGCAGATAGGACGTTTATCAAGAATAAAAAATTTAGGAGTGCCTGGGTGGCTCAGTTGGTTGAGTGACTGCCTTCGGCTCAGGTCATGATCCTGGAATCCCAGGATCGAGTCCCACATCAGGCTCCTTGCTCAGCAGGGAGTCTGCTTCTCCCCCTGACTTTCCCCCCCTCTCATGTGCTAATCATCTTTAAAAAAATAAAATTTAGGGGCGCCTGGGTGGCTCATTCGTTGAGCGTCTCCTTTGGCTCAGGTCATGATCCCAGGGTTCTGGGATCAATCCCCGCATCAGGCTCCCTGCTCTGCGGGAAGCCTGCTTCTCCCTCGCCCACTCCGCCTCCTGCTTGTGTTCCTGCTCTTGGTGTCTCTGTCAAATAAAATCCTTAAAAAAAAATAAAAATAAATTTAATTACGAAGATACTAGGAGATATTCTGGCAAGAAAAAATGTTGACGTAAGTCTGCCCCAAACAACACTGCTGCCTATTGTTGAAAAATAAACTCGAGGGCGCCTAGGTGGCTCAGATGGTTAAGCGTCTGCCTTCAGCTCAGGTCATGATCCCAGAGTCCTGGGATCGAGTCCCGCATCGGGCTCCCTGCTTCTTGGGAGCCTGCTTCTCCCTCTGCCTCTCTCTCTCTCATGAATAAAAAAAATCTTTAAAAAAGAAAAAAACTCAAATCTTGAAAATTTTCTTTAGGTTCAATAACTGAAGCAATTTAAGCAATTTTAACTATCCATCAAAAGGGTTGGCATAAAAAAATGCCTCCAAATTTAACTGAATATCTTGACACAAGAATAAACCTGTAAAATTTGTGCCTTAACACTAAGAAATAGAGTAGAAAGAGGTGAGGAAGTCAATACTGAAAAGTTAACCATTCCAGCAGGAGCAACAATGCCTACTCAAAAGGCTCAAGGTAGATACAGACTTGAAGCAGAGTTCAGAATATAAATGACTCATTGCCCAAATGCAGTTAAAGCTCAAATTTCTTAGTAAAGTAACAAATGCAGCTAAATCAATTTGGGAAATCAGTTAAATGCTTGAACTTAAACCATTTTGTCTGGTATTTAAACATTTTTTTCAGAGATGCCCTTAAAAAAAAAACAAAAAACACCCAGGTTTAAGGCCTGGGTGGATTTGTTTGGTTTTCTTGTTAGAAAATCCCTAAGATTTTGATACATTACCCTGATAAGTACAGTGCAAAGATATAGTGAAATGGAGGAATATACAGAGACAACTTGAGGGCAACAGTCTTCCCAGACTCTGCACACTTAAGAATTTTCCCCAAGAAGCAAGTCTTTAATAACTACTAAAAGTCAAAGAAACTAGTATTCTAACTTTGAAGTTTCTATGACTTTAAAACATTTCAAAAATGAAGATTTCCTGTGGCCTTTTTAAGAGAATTTTATTTGAGTGGTTCTTACAAAGGTAGTTGCAATATGAAAGTCATTTGTTTGATAGAAATATCAAGCTGTCTTGTCAAACACACTGAAGTAACCCAAAAATATATTTCAGAGCTCACAGAGCTTAAAAAGAGCAAAGATTATATGCAACCAGACAAAACCTATTTCTGCATTTCCTATTTCTTGCTCAGACTGCTTTGCTTACCAGACTGTCACTAAACATCTTGAGGAAATGCAGGGATCATTTTGTTTGGAATCTTAGACACACCAGAACACATAATATTTACAAAGAAACTTTTACAGATACATTAATTGAAAAGATACTATCCAGAAATGTAATCTTGAAAACTCCTTTTCTTGCCAATTGATCACGATGCAAGATGAGATGTTAATCAAACAGCCCTTTAGCTGTCTTGAATTTCCATACACTAAATGTGTACTCCAGAATCTGCTAAACCATTAGCCAAGTATCAACATTAGTGAAACATGAAATGTAACTGCTGTGTAAAAAGTTAGGCTTCTGAAACATTAAAAACATAATTACATCCCTGTCTGCCTTTTTACATTAAGCACATTTGTTCCCCCCTAGAGCTATTCCTATAGATCCTTAATGTAAATTTCTACATGTACATTTAAAAGGCAGAACAAGAGAACAGCTTTGTATACAGTGGGATTTGCTAGTTAGGGATAATGAGCACACTGCATTCCTGTTAACAGTTTTATTTTTTCAAGGTAACAGGAATTGTATACAAATGACAGTAGACCCTTGCCTCTTTATTTTTATCTAAATAAAAGATAACTCAAGATGAATTCTCAAGAAAGAAAAAAAGCTATGTACATAAGAGACTATATCTTCCTTCATCGTCTACTTGGAACCAGTAGTTGTGTTGCTGTCATAGAATCAGGGAAGAGGTTGTGGTAAGTTGGAAGAGGTACATATGCTGCTGTTATCATTTTACCTGTTGAAAGAAACAGATACGAGGGTTTAGCATTTTCACTTAAATTACATCTTTCATAATCATCACTCAGGAAAACAGATCAAACTCACCAGCAAACCACCTGCCATGCAATGCATTGACAGCAGCAATGGCTGCAGCAATTGATGGGCACTTCACATACACATTGCCCTGAAATACAATGACAAAAAGATAAGGGCGGTATACAATTTTTACAAATTGCCTGGAAAAAAACCCCTCAGAGCTCTATAACCAAATACTTGTTTTATTAGCTAACTAACATGTACACCTAGAATTTTACTGAAATCATTTTATCCTCCCCAAACTTGTTATATTTTTTTTTTTCTATGACTTGAAACCAGATGAAGAATGAATCAAGATGCTAGATTTCATGCCAAACTTTCAACACTAACCAGCAACACTGCTACACAATGGCCTGGTCTAATCTTCATTTATTAGAAGACTGTCCTTATGTTGGAGGATATATAGTCAGTCACTATGTTAAAATTTCTTTCAGAATTAAAAAACAAAACAACTTCCTGGGACAGTGGTAATCTGCCCCAAGTATGTGTGAAGGCTGTCATAAAAGAGTAACAACCTCATATCTTTATTAGTTATCACAACACCTGAAGTGAGGTACATAAAGGGCAGATTAAACTTTTCTGGCTTTAGGGAAAAAAAATAAAATACCTGAGCTGAATTTTTGTCAACATAAATATGAATAACTCCTCCATGTTTATTACATTCTTCAATCACATCATCCTTAATCTCTGTATCCCATCCAACTTCTTCTTCTCTGTACAAAAAAATATTAAGGTCTGTTAGACACCATTCAAACTTATATAATGTTACATACTCATCTGTATAAAAATATTTTAAATATGAATTCATTTAATTAATTTAAAACTTGTTGATGTTAATAATGTAGTGCACTGGAGAAAATCAAAAACAAGGTAAGGCACCGTTTCGAACAATGCTTATGAATTTCTTTTTTTAAGACTATTTTAGAGAAAAGAGCTGGCGTGTGTGTGCACGTGAGTAGGGGGAGAGGGAGAAAGACTCCCCACTGATTGTGGAGTCCACCACGCCAGGCTTGATTTCAGGAACCTGAGATCATGACCTGAGCCAAAGTCAGACAATTATCAACTGACCTACCCAGGCATCCCAGCTTATGAATTTCTTAACTCTAAATTAACATTTAAAGTACTTACTGACATATATCAAATTTCATATACCAGCAGTTTATCATTTTCCAGATAAAGCTAACTAAAGAATCTGGTGTTCTCCAGACACCTGGGTGGCTCAGTGGGTTAAGAATCTGCCTTCGGGGGGCGCCTGGGTGGCTCAGTTGGTTAAGCGACTGCCTTCGGCTCAGGTCATGATCCTGGAGTCCCGGGATCGAGTCCCATATCGGGCTCCCTGCTCAGCGGGGAGTCTGCTTCTCCCTCTGACCCTCTTCCCTCTTGTGCTCTCTCTCATTCTCTCTCTCTCAAATAAATAAATAAAATCTTAAAAAAAAAAAAAAAAAAAAGAATCTGCCTTCGGCTCAGGTCATGATCCCAGGATCCTAGGATGGAGTCCCACGTCAGGCTCCTTGCTCATTGAGCCTGCTTCTCCCTCTGTCTGCCGCTCCCCCTGCTTGTGCTCGCTCTGACAAATAAAATCTTAAAAAAAAAAAAAATTTTCTTTTGGTGTTAAACACAAGAATCCAAGGCTCTCTTTCTTTGGTAAACCATGAACTAATATAAACAATGCAAACAGCATGTAACATATTCTTATATAAAACCTAAGTATGTTTTATATATATATAATGGTTTATTTATCCAATCAACTGAACAGGTATCTACATTTACCTCAGAATGTATTATAACAAAACAGAAGAGTTTGGACTGATAAATAAATGGCATTCTAATCATTGTGCCTAGGCATTAGGAAAGAGAAATTCCTAATTCCTGGCCTGCATTAATCTAAGAAAAATACTTAAAAAGATCCTCTTCTCCTATAAAAGATTAAAATAGTATTAAAATTTCAAAGCCAAGAACTGGTAGCAGAGTAAACTGACAATAGAAATAAACACAAACACACATACGAACAAACAAAACAAGCAGAAACAGACCCATAAACAGAGAACAAAATGGTGACTGCCAGAGGGGAGGAGGGTCTGGGTAAAATGGGTGAAGGGGAGTGGGAAGTACAGGCTTTCAGTTAAGGAAATAGTATGTCAAAAACAATGAAAAGAACAGGATAGGGAATATAGTCAATGTACTGTAATAGCCTTATATGGTGACAGATGGTAAGCTACACTTATAGTGAGCATAGCATAAGGTGTAGAATTGAAGAACTGTTATGAGCCTGAAACTAATGCAACATAAGGTATGTAAACTACAAGTGATAAACACTGATACAAAACTTCTGAGAAAACTACTAATGGTAAACAAAATCTGCATACCTTTTACTTCATTTCCAATCTTACAAACATACCCAAAGGATTTAGCAATAAAAAAAGTTATTAAAATACCCTAAAAGGATGAAAACTGTTGTTTACTATTTGAACTGTAAAATATATTGAAGCATCCAAAATGTTAACTTAGAAAAGCTGAGTATTAATACTTTCACAGTACAGTTAACCACTGAACAACATGGGTTTCAACTGCACAAGTCCACCTATACAGTACAGCACTATAAATGTAGTTGCTCTAAGATTTTCTTTTCTCTAACTTTATTGTAAGAATGCACTACAGAAGACATGTAACATACAAGAGACACGTTTATTATCTGTTTGTTATTGTAAGGCTTTAAGTCAACAGTAGGCCGTTAGCAGTTAAGTTTTAGGGTGAGTCAAAATTTACACACGGATTTTCGACTGTGCAGGCAGGAATCTGCACTGGTAATCCCCACATTGTTCAAGTGTCACTGGTATACCCTTACTTACGTTTGAGGGTTAAACATGTTAGAAAGTTGGAAACACTGTGTTGCAAGAGGCTGAACAGAGGCAGCTGCAGCTAAAGCCGAAGCTAAAAAAAAAAAAAAAAAAAAAGAGAGAGAGAGAGAAATTAGTTTCATGGAAAATGCATCAGAATAACCCTGATGAATAAAATAAAAAAAACCCCCACTAAATCGCAACTGTGAAATTAGGATAGTCAGTCACTTCCCTAATTTACCTTACTTATTAATAGTGTGATCGGAGTGTTTAACGATACCCAATTTGAGTTGCCAGGAAACTGAAGCAACCTAACATTTGAAATAGCCAATCTTAACTGAGTTGGAAATTTTATTTTTAGAAGGTTAATTAAACTGTACGTGTGATCAAAATTCAATTAGACAAATATCAGTACAAATCAATCCAGAAAGGTAAAGGATAAAATAAATGCCTGATTTTGTATAACTGCTTGAGTTTATACTAACCCCAAGAAACAGGGGATGATGAAAATACAATCTTTTCTTAGGTTTCTGCCCATGAATACAGTTACATATTTTCTTTTAAATAAACATTATAAAAGGATTAAAAGATGCAGAAAACCATCCAACCATTTACAATTTAATATCCCACGAATATAAACCCTATTTCAAAATCAAATGAGTATTTTTTAAATGACTAGGTCTGTCATAGCACAAGAAACACTAAAAATAGCATATATCTATATTATAATACTATTAAAAATAAAAAACTACTAGACACTAATATCCAGAAGGAACATTTTAAAGCCATACTGGTTTTAGGTTTGAAGTGAGAGCACTGTCCAACACAGCTGCCCCATTGCTTTTATATGATTCACAGAACATTACCAGTAGCTGTTACAGAACTCACCGTAATCATTTTATTTGACCAAATTTCATTCCAATATATAACAATAAACAAAGCTAAGGATAAAACAGCGCATTAGAAATTATGGTAATTAAAATTAACAGTCACCTGAGGAAATATCACAAATTATTTCACTGAATAAAAATTAGGGCCATGCATGAAATACATCATAAAAAATTATTCTGTTAAAATTACAAGTGTTTTGACCCTTTATTACTTCAATAAAGTTTTTTCTTTCATGAATCTTTGTATTAAAACATAAATGCTAAAAAAGCAAACAGATGTCATATTCCATTCAGAAAAGGTAAAGATGTATGATGTTTATGTTACAATGAATATGAAAATGAGGCCCACTGTGTACTTTATCATAAACAAATGGAAGTATTCTTGAAAATAAACACTAGGTCAAAACAAAAAAAATAAAATAAACACTAGGTCATTATAAAACAACTGAGGAGTACTTTATTTTTTCCATTTTCTTAAATGAATTAGGAATACTAAAAAAAATTTTAAGAATATCTGATAGGAACAGTCCAGCTAAACCTAGATGAATGCAGAACACAATGAATTCAGCATAGAAATATAGCTAACAGAAAATTCCACTAGTTATACTTTTTAAAATCTGCGAAAAAAAGGTTTGAGTGTAACTGTCTCACTTGCTGGAAAAAAATTAAAATACACATTTAATTCCTATCAAGGAACATGGCAGACGTTTTCATGTAGAATCATTCTCCTAAACTTTTAATTAAAACCTATGAAAGATGGATACTGAATTAGCTCAAGAGCAAAATGCTCTAAACAAACAGCAGAAATTTGGTAATCAAAAATAAAAAATAGCCTACTTTAGAAATAACTATTTCAATCTTTGAAATATGCATGCAATTTAGTTCTGGGTAATTGTCTCATTGCTTGGTACTATTAATACATATCACTGAAGTTGGAGTCCTTAACCTTACGTTCATTAAGTTCAGACTCCTGAAAGATTTGTGTATTAGAACAACAAATTCCATTTTCTGACTTCTATATAAAACTAACAATCAGAACACAAAGATAAGCATACGAGACTAAAAATAATTCTAAGCAAACTAAAGCAAAGAAATGCACATGCAAATTTCGATTTTAATCCAGAGTCATAATGATTGGGATTAAGCCAACTGAAATATACATTAAAAGATGGCTTACTGTATATACACCATACTAGTCATTCTTCAAAAACAATCCAAAATACAAAATGTAACAAGTGATATAATAAATAAACACTGTGTCTTGCTACATTGACATCTATTTCAAAGACAAATAAAAAGCTCAACTCACCTTCAGTCTGTTGAGAAAGTCTTGTTTGCAAATCTATAACAAAAGAGAATTCTACAGCTCAGTGCAGGAACAATGAAGAGCCTCAACTAACAGGGTAAATGTCAGGAAAGCATTAATAAAAGAGGACTACATAGCAGGGTTTATAAAAATAAACTTATAGTAAAACCTGGCAGCCAAACCTCCTTCCCCATTCCTCATTGACAAGGCTTTGGGGCCTTTTTCTTTCCTCCTATCCTAGGAAACTTACTTAGGCCTCTGTCTCCCTACTCCTAGTACTCTTCCACAACTCCTATGTATTCCACTATACTACCCTTCACATGGGAATAATGGGAAATGGGGAAAGGGAAGCACACCGGTCAGAAAATCCATGAAAACCCTGATCTTGAGAATTCAATTCCAAGTACTTGGGATATTCAACTCTGGCCGAGAAGATGACAGTTTAATTAGGTCTGGTTTCCTGGCATAGTACAGAAATTTAATGAAGCAGGAATAAACTTTAACCAACTTTACTATAATCTATGAAATACAAGAAGAATTTAATCATCTAGTCACTATTAAAAACAGAATGGAGATTTTTACCAATATATTTCCCCGTATATAATCATTAAATTCTCCACTGGAAGGCAAGTTAACAGAAAGCTGCTTGGCACTGCAACAAGTGTAAATAAAAGAACAAAATGTCATTGTGCTAGCTTGAAGTTTAAAATTATAAAAATACACAATATAAAAATTGTTTAGATCCAATAACCTAATTTTCATTAACATGTGATTCAATTGCAACACTTTTATCATCTGGGTGTCTTGCCGAGTACAGAAAAAAAATTAAAAATGGCAGCTGGCTTATTCAGTCAGTGGACAGTGCAACTTGATCTCAGGGTTCTGAGTTCAATCCCCTCAATGGATGTAGAGATTACTTAAAAACTTAAGGGGGGGCGGCAAAAAGGAAAAGGGATCGGTACCCCCAGTTATGCTGGGATAAAAAAACACCTGGTTCCTAAGTGCTCAAAACTGGTGTATGAGGGAGATGAAGAAATTTAACTGGTATATTCTGAAGGCACATGAAGATAGGACCATAGAAACACTGTCAAACCTTAAATTATAACCCAATTTATCTTTTCTTTCCATACAATAGGAAAAAAGGTATAGATATAAAAAACCTATCCTATGGGATGCCTGGCTGCCTCAGTCAGAAGAGCACAGGACTTTTGATCTCAGGGTTGTGAGTTCGAGCCCCACATTGGATGTAGAGTTTAATAAATGAAAACTTAAAAAAATCCACGGTATTTTAAAGGTATGTAAGTAACTATCAAGATTTCAAAAATGACTTTATAGGTCATTTGTGACAAGTTAGGAAACAAAGCATAGGTTTCATCGGAATCTCTCTTAGAAACAACTTGTTAAATTTCCAAAATAAAGTGCATGGAGTGATGACTCACCCTTGGTTTTAAAAGCAGCTTTAAAGAACTTAGGAGAAAGGGCTTTGGACACATTAACACTCAGCAATTTACACCTTTTTAACAAAAAGTAAGGTTTCAATGATGACTATCTGGAGAAAAACACTGAGTTTATGCATGTAAATTTGTAATGTACATGTATGTAAAATTATGTAAATATTTACCTAAAACTTGGGTGATTAAGCAATAGCAATTTATAGGAAGTTTAAGACAGAATCAAACTTTATATAATCTCAATAAATGCTAATAAGGGTGAATATAAAAAAATACAGATAACTGGCTATTTTAACCAATCCACATTCACCTTTGTAGAATTCTAGTTGATCACAATCAGCCCACCTTAAGTATAAACTTGCACAGTAAGTGTGCCCAAGGTGTAGCCATACATCGTGCATCAGGAAGTAAAGGCTAAGAAAGGTAGTAAGGTCTAACTTTCAAAAATCTTCAATTAGATGAAGATATTGTTTATGAAGAACACTGAATGAACATATTTGATACCGCACCCAGGATATAACATAAGACTGTTTAGAAACGAATCCTATGTTACTACACCAAATCCCTGAAGACAGCTGACAAATACTCACTAGCCTCTAGTGAAATACCTAGAATATGATAAACAAGCATTTTCTAAATTATTAAAAGAATGATCTGAACAATGGGAAGTAATAGGAGGCTACAGTTTTCAGATTTAATTAGCAAGTTTAAAACGACAGAGTTACATTTCTGGAAGGGATGGGTTCCTTACATGTCTTTGATTATATCAAGTGGCATTCTTGGCTATTTGGTCACTCAAGAAATTAAATATCTAATAAAAGTCAAAACTATTTAGTGATACTTGGGGGAGTTACCCAGTGACAAAAAAAAATACAGAAATCCATTAATGGTTATGATTTTCTCCCCATAAGGATAAACTAGCATGGTTTTATCTGAAAATTTTTTAAGATTTATTTATTTGAGAGAGAGAAAAAAACAGCATGAGTGGGAGGGGCAGAGGGAGAGGTGGAGAGAATCTCAAGCTGACTCCATGCCCACTGTGGAGCCTGGCTACGAGGTGGGGCTGGATCTCACAACCCTGAGATCATGACCTAATCTGAAATCAAGAGACCGATGCTTAACTCACTGAGCCACCCAGGCGCCCCAGTTTTTTCAGAAGTTTTATAAATACCTATCAGATTTCAAAATAAATAACATAATCTGACAGGTGAAACACAAAAACACAAAAGGCAGATTTTCTAAACTTATTCACAAACTTGTAGACATCCACTAAAAAGAAAACACTGAAAGGGCCCTTCTCTTAATAACAAAATATAAAAGCAAAAATGATCCTCTCCTTTAATTAATGAGCTTTTGATTTAAATTGAAATCATGAATCAACCACATGGACCTTTATTGTATATTCAGATGCAGTACTGTGGTCTTAGACTGTCAAGAGTCTCACTTTATTTTTATTATTATGTTAATCACCATACACTACATCATTAGTTTTTGATGTAGTGTTCCATGATTCATCGTTTGCATATAACACCCAGTGCTCCATGCAGAACGTGCCCTCTTTATAGATAAAATTCATTAATACAAAGTGCCATACTTTCTTGGGATATATAGTCCCTGTCTTCCAAGGTCCAAAATACAAATGGCTCTTCTTAGATGTTCTAAAAGCAAGGTCCTCAACATTTCAAAATTAAATGCTACCCTAGCTCATAGATCTGGGTTAGCATCAAGGTTTATAAAAGCAGATTTGAGGTACTTAAGCCATAATGAAAACAGTGTTTCATAAACTAAACCCCTTGTTACACAACTGTAATAAACCATCACTTCTCTATTTTCCTGCCCTCTTCAGGAGCTCCCATTACCCTAAGAGAAAATCTCAAAATACCCTGTAGAAGAAAGCAGTTTTCTTTGCACTCTTGATACTATAATTATTTTAAAGGCCCCTGATAGTTTTCTCAACTCAAACATTTATAAAGAAACATTTTTTGAAACAATATAAACTTGGTGTTTAAGAAAAGTCATATATTTAAAAAGGTCTAACAGGCTAACTAAAAAATAGTATGTAGTGTTCAAAAAAAATGCCGATAGCCTATTATTATTAGTGAATACTTCCAGTCTCTATCTCCATTTCCTTTAAATTTACAGGCTAAAAAGTACTTATGAATTGAATTCTCAGTAAGTCCTTTTAAATACAAAAATTTGGCAAATTTTCGAATTAGGTGAAAAAACAATGATTTCAAATTAGAAAAGATTCAATTCCTACCTGCCACAGCACCAAATGCCAAAGAGCCACTCATTTGTAGAGCCTGCTGTGCTGCTGGTGGAATCTGCAAACCTGTACCTGTGTAAAAGAAATAGATCTTATAGTCCTTACCATGGTAAGGGCAAAAAAAACCCCAATTTTCTGGGTTACTACTACTACCAAAGTCACTTCACCAAAAGTATTTACAAGCAGGACATGGTATAATACTGGAAACTAAGTTTATTAAGTATGAGAATATAATTATTAAAAAAAAGCAAAAAGAATCCTATAATGTATGCTGTGGCACTCAAGAAGCACCACCATAAAGTAGATTCCATTAGAACCTTAAGAAAAGTAACCTCATCTATGAAACTGCATATACCACCCAAGGATAAGGTCAACTTCAAAATAAGAAAAAATTATTTTTTCATTTATTAGTCTGTGAGTGTTAGCTTTCCATTACCATATCCACAATAAATCATTCACAACACATGGAAAAACTTACCTTCTGCAAGTCTTGCCATTAACTGGAGACGACCAGTTGTTCCCAAGTCAATTCCAGTCCTTTCCAGTTCATCACTGTCCAAAAATGAGCTAGCACTGGAAGCATCAGTACGTTCAGTAACATGACCAACTTTCATTGGTCTTCCTGCTAACTCAAATCCATTAAGTTGTTCCAAAGCCTTCTTGGCACATTCTGAGTCAGAAAACTGTAATTGAGAGAGGGGTGAAAGTAAAAAGTCCAGTATGTTAGTTCACATATATACCTAAGGTAAAAAAATGGTTACTTGTAAGTCTAGTCTATTCAATAATTATACAACTGGGTGGATAAGTGGAAATTTCTAGCTTTAAGTAATATAACCTATATGATCAGTCCACAAGCTCATTCAAATCAGTTTTGCTAAAGTGATGGTTTGAACAGCAAGATATTACCAAACAACGACATCTATATTTGGAAATACAGAATCTTAATATGTAAAATAATTTTTCTAACATCAAAACACTTTTTCTTTTAAGCTTTTATTTATTTGAGAGAGAGAGAGAGAGAGAGCGCGCGCGCACGCACAAGAGGGGGGAGGGAGGGTCAGAGGGAGCAGCAGACTCCCTGCTGAGCAGGGAGCCCAATGTGGGGCTCGATCCGGGGACTCCGGGATCATGACCTGAGTCGAAGGCAGTCGCTTAACCAACTCAGCCACCCAGGCGCCCCTAAATTGTGAAAATTCTTAATTCCCAGGATGCAAACACAAACTTAGTTGCACACTGATTTTCATTTAATGGGAAAAAAAAATACTCCCAGGAATCCCATTGCTCAATCTTTCATCAGTAGGATTCAAAACATGTTCTCTTATTCAAAGAGGAAAAATTACAGATACTTACATTTACCAACACACAGCAACATGTAAATTTAAATAATCTAGCTTTGTACACAGACCATTAAATCATAGCTAATAGTTCACACATAGTTAATATTAAAAATGTTTTTAGGGCGCCTGGGTGGCTCAGTTGGTTAAGCGACTGCCTTCGGCTCAGGTCATGATCCTGGAGTCCCGGGATCGAGTCCCACATCGGACTCCCTGCTCAGCAGGGTGTCTGCTTCTCCCTCTGACCCTCTTCCCTCTCATGCTCTCTATCTCTCATTCTCTCTCTCTCAAATAAATAAATAAAATTAAAAAAAAAAATGTTTTTAATAGGGCCACCTGTGTGGCTCAGTCGGTTAAGTGTCACCTGCCTTTGGTTCAGGTCATGACCCCAGGGTCCTGGGATTGAGCCCCACCCACCAAAGAGCCTGCTTCTCTCTATGCCCCTCCCTCTGCCCCTTCCCCTGCTTGTTCTCTCTCTCTCAAATAAAATCTTTAAAAAAAAAATGTTTTTATTAAAATGCTTTGCGAAGTATTCCCTTCTTTTTTTTTCTAAGATTTTATTTATTTGACAGAGACAGTGAGTGAGAGCAGGAACACAAGCAGGGGGAGTGGGAAAGGAAGCAGGCTTCCCGCTGAGCAGGGAGCCCACTGTGGGACTCAATCCCAGGACCCTGGGATCATGACTTGATAAAAAACTACTTTAGGTAGGGCGCCTGGGTGGCTCAGTTGGTTAAGCGACTGCCTTCGGCTCAGGTCATGATCCTGGAGTCCCAGGATCGAGTCCCACATCAGGCTCCCTGCTCAGCAGGGGGTCTGCTTCTCCCTCTGACCCTCTTCCCTCTCATGCTCTCTTTCATTCTCTCTCAAATAAATAAAATCTTAAAAAAAAAAAAACTACTTTAGGTAATACATGGTAAAATATTCAATTTAATACAAGTTATGTGTAAAATCCCTTGACCACACCATTTTGAGGAAAAAGGAAAAGAACCACACTCATGTTATTAGGAACAAATGGTATTGGGGCACCTGGGTGGCTCAAGTGGGTTAAGCATCGCCTTTGGCTCAGGTCATGATCCCGTAGTTTTGGGAATGAGCCCCAAGCTGGGCTTTCTGTTCAGTGGGGAAGTTGGCTTCTCCCTCCCTCTTCCCCGTTCCCTCTCACTCACAAAATCTTTTTTTTTTTAAAGTTATTAACAGTTTTATAAACTTTTCTTTCACCAGTATATAAAGATGAAAATCCCAATGACCAAAAAAACTTTTATCACTAAAAAACATTTTTTTTTTTTTGAGAGAGAGGAGGCGGGGGAGAGAGAAAATCTCAAGCAGACTCCATGCCCAGTGTGAAGCCCAACGCAGAGCCGGCTCTCACGATTCTGAGATCATGACCTGAGCCGAGATCAAGTCAGATGTCTAACCTAGTGAAGCAATCAGGTGCCAAATTTGGCTATAATACAATTATATAACTTTTTTTGAAGATTTATTATTTTATTTATTTCAGAACCTTCCAAAGTTCTAACACGAAACATTCAAAAAACTGCTATTATGTAACTGAACTGCACTGGGAATTAGAAACATAAATAGGGTTTACTTTTAAAGGGGCACCTCCAGGGCGCCTGGGTGGCTCAGTTGGTTAAGCGACTGCCTTAGGCTGAGGTCATGATCCTGGAGTCCCGGGATCGAGTCCCGTATCAGGGTCCCTGCTCAGCGGGGAGTCTGCTTCTCCCTCTGACCCTCTTCCCTCTCGTGCTCTCTATCTCTCATTCTCTCTCTCAAATAAATAAATAAAATCTTTAAAAAAAAAGTTTAAAAATAAAAAAAATAAAAAATAAAGGGGCACCTCCATTCAGTTATTCCAGCTGCCACCTAACTCATCAGGGAATGGGCTGCAAAGGTTAGCCACGAACTTTTTAGATTTCATTTACTTATTTATTTAGAGAGAGCACACATGTGTGAGCATCGGGAGGAGTAGCAGGAGAGGAAGAGAGAATCTCAAGCAGACTCCATGCCCAGTGCAGATCCCAATGCAGCACTAGGTATCAGGACTCTGAGATCAGGACCTGAGCTGAAATGAAGAGCCAGATGCTTAACCAACTGGGCCACCCCGGACCTCCCCCAAAAACACTTATTCAATAAACTAATTCTGATTGTGGTTGCGAGATGCATACATATAATAGTAATTTTAAGTAAAACAGAGTATGAAGACACTTTCAACTGACAAAATCGTATCATAAAAATATTACAGATCAAAGAACTCATAATGGGTTCATAAATTTCAATTACATGGCAACTTAGCTATGCAAACTGAGGATAATAGAAAACTGGCTAAACGGCAACATTTCGTAAACATGGCTACTAAAGGCAAACCAATTTGAACCATTCAAAAATATTAACCCCCTTTAAGAAAAAAGGAAAAGAAGAAGATAACAGGAGAGGAAGAAAAGGGGAGTATGTCAGAGGGGGAGACGAACCATGAGAGATGATGGACTCTGAAAAACAAACTGAGGGTTCTAGAGGGTAGGGGGGTGGGGGGATGGGTTAGCCTGGTGATGGGTATTGAGGAGGGCACGTTTTGCATGGTGCACTGGGTGTTATGAACAAACAATGAATCATGGAACACTGCATCAAAAACTAATGATGTAATATATGGTGATTAACATAACAATAAAAAAATTAAAAAAAAAATATTAACCCTTACCCACTATCAATAACTAATCAAGTTTTACTATGGTACTTTGATCTAAAACCTTAAAGTCAATCAATCAAACCTTTAAGTCACAATGTTAATAATGGTAATGCTTACCGTAATAAATCCATATCCCTTAGATCGGCCTGTTTCACTATCCATCATGAGTTGGATACTTTCAATCTAAAAATAAAAACAATTATGTTAAGTGCAAAGGAGGAAGCAAAAGCATATTATTCCTTGAAGTATGATTTAAAGTCTCTCCCCCTAAAACCAAAAACCAACCATCACAACCCCTCACTTCCAAAAGAACTTCTGAAAGCCTAGATAATTCCCAAACAAGAAGTTTGCACTGTGGAGCAGGAAAGAAAAAAAGTACAATCTTAGTCTTCTGCCTCAAAAATAAACCACTAAAAACCAGAGGTCCCTTGTGAACTACAATCAGGTGTTAGAAATAAAATTAACATTGTTTCCTTTCCATTATGCCAGAAACACTGAACATTAATTCTCAATAATACCAGACATGATAAATTGTCCAAGATGCTAAAATAGGGCACTTGATTGGCTCAGTCAGTAGAGCATGTGACTCTTAGTCTCTGGGTTTTGAGTTCAAGCCGCACAGTGGATGTAGAGGTTACTTAAAAATAAAAATACTGGGACGCCTGGGTGGCTCAGTCTATTAATCATCTGCCTTCGGCTCAGGTCATGATCCCAGTGTCTAGCATCAGACTCCTTGCTCAGTGGGGAGCCTGCTTCTCCCTCTGCCTGCCACTCCCCCTGCTTGCGCTTGCTCTCTGACAAATAAATAAAATCTTTAAAAAATAACTAAATCTTACAAACAAAGGCGGCTGGGTGGCACAGTTATATGTCTGACTCTTGGTTTCAACTCAGATCATCTCAGGGGTTGAGAGATCAAGTCCTGCATGGTACTCCACGCTCAGCTTGCTTGAGGCGCTCTCTCTCTCTCCCCCCTGGTCACCCCCAACCCTGCCCCATAAATCTTAAAATCTTAATAAAATCAACACTGATTGTAGTTATCAATGTACAACTCTGTGAACACATTAAAAGGCAATGGATTGTTCACTTTAAGCAGGTGAAGTATATAGTTTATTTACATCACAGTATCTCAATAAAGCTGTTCATACACAGAAAGCATGAAAAATTAAAACACAGCATGGGGGCACCTGGGTGGCTCAGCTAGTTAAATGACTGTCTTCTGCTCAGGTTATGATCCCAAGGTCCTGGGATCAACTCCCACATAGGGCTTCCCTTGCTCTGCTGGAAGCCTGATTCTCCCTCTCCCTGCCACTCTCCCCGCTTGTGCTATCCCCCTCTGTCAAATGAATAAAAAAAAAAATCTTAAAAAAAAAATTTTCCGGAATGGATGTACTACATTTTTTCATGTCCTGGTAATTTCAGGAATGCATTAATTTTGTGGTGATTGACCCAAAAAAACAAAAAGAACACCATTTGTACATCACTAGGGTGTGCATACTTCGAATTTAATAAAACACCCACAATCAACACCCAGCTTTTACCATTACTGACTCTTCAAACAGTTTAACAAAAGAGTTGAATGGAAATAGTGAAAAAGTATATCCAAGGGCAATGAAGAGTAGTAGTGGATACAGTTTAAGAGTTACCAACATTTTTATTCATGGCCACATAATCTTTTAAACTACAACTTACTAGTATTAACATTTATTCTAAAATAAACTGTTCATGCTAAAAGGAGGACCAATTGGACAGAAACAGTCTAACTCCTTAATTTAGTAGATAGAGAAGCTTCTCTACCTACCCCTAAATCTTCAGTAGACAAAATACAGGCATCCAAAAAAACATCAACAGGGGGTACCTGGCTTGCTCAGTCAGAAGAGCACGCAACTCTTGATCTTGGGGCCATGAGTTCAGGCACCCACATTGGAGAGGTAGACTGTACATTAAAAAAAAAAAAATACCGCCCCAAAGACCCAACCAAGAAAAAAAAATTTCTTGTTCCAAATGCACAGGATATTTTCATGTTGACTTGAAAAAATTGATTGCTTCTGATACTCTATACATTTCACTGCAACATTATGAATGACAACACTAACAGATTCTCTATCTTCAAATGTTACCTTCTTTCAGAGATACTATCTTAATCTACCATGCCACAAAACCCTTTCAGAACCACCCTTCCCCATCTTATTATTAAGCTCACCGAAACATGACAAAGTAGATATACAGAATTATTATGCAGTGATATTTGGATAAGAACCTATTAAGGATCATTGACGATATTGGCACTTACCCTTCCAAAAGGCTCAAAGATTCCCCGAAGCATATCTTCAGTTATGTTAAAGTGTAATGAGCCCACATAAAGCCTCATCGGTCCAGCACTTCCCTTTTGTAGATTGTTTGCCATTGCTGCAGCTCTGTTTTTTTCTGCCTATAAGTTGGATAAGACAAAATGCACATCACACAGCACTAATCCAAATCATTTTAATCATAGTAAAATCCCATTCACTTTGAGTTTGCTTAATGACTAGTGATGCCAAAGGTTAGTGATGAAATTACGCTAAATTTAGTAAGTCATACACAGGACAAATATTCCACTTACATGTGACTGTGATTAATGGCACTGAATTAAAATTTTAAGAAAATGGTTCCAATGCCAATTTTATAAACAAAAACTTCAATATTTTATTCAACTTAAGATATATTTTGCCACAAAAAACTTTAGAGAAGTTTTACAAGCATATGCAAGTCATATATAAAGCAATCATACACTCCATTTCATATGTAAAAAATGAAATCAATCCTGAAAGTACACTATGCCATCTAAGTGATAGGCATCCTAGTATCAGACATGCTAAATGTGGAAAATAAGACTGTCTCCTGGAATTGGTAAATACGTTCGTTAATTAATATTAATGTACTCCCAAATTCATTGTTACTCAAAGTACAGTATACACCAACTGGCTGGCTGCCATAAAGGGGCTTTTTTGTCAATATAAAATCAATCAAGCAAAGCATCAAGTTTAGCTGTCACTTTTTCCAAAAGAAGTCTTTCTCAAAGGTAATGGTTATTAATTCATATTCTACCATAAGCTCCTTAACAAATTGCGACATTTTGAGTATCTATGTCCAAAGGAGGTTAAAGTTGAATGAATTCAAAACCTCATTTGAGGATTCTCAGCCCTCTTCAGGCCAATCTACACACTATTAAATTTATCCTCCATTGCAGGAAGTGAATCAAGGAACTACTTTTCCCATTTCCTAACAATTACTCTCCTATTGTTTACATATATTCAAGTGATAAATACTTCTAAAACACTAAATAGGACCTATTATTGTCTTTTAAATATGACAGAACCTACTAACGTGATCAATTTGTTATATACAGCTTATTAACAGTGAGTAAAGCTGGAGTCAGATCTGGTTCCAAAGCTTGTGCATAACTTTATAGTATCATGTAAGTTTGATGAAGTAACCAGATTACTGAGGAGTTAGAGTACTTATTTCAGTGGTTTGGAAGGCTATCAACATGACTATTTTATGCGTTGTTCAAAAATATTCTTGGGCGCCTGGGTGGCTCAGTTGGTTAAGCAACTGCCTTCGGCTCAGGTCATGATCCTGGAGTCCCAGGATCGAGTCCCACATCGGGCTCCCTGCTCAGCGGGGAGTCTGCTTCTCCCTCTGACCCTCCCCCCTCTCATGCTCTCTCTCTCCCTCATTCTCTCTCTCAAATAAAAAAATAAAATCTTTAAAAAAAAATATTCTTTAAATCCTATATTCTCCATTAAAAAAACACCTGAGCTAGCAAGCAGTAACGTATCAATAATGGTCTTAATAAAAATAGCTACTGATATCTTAAAAATACTATCATATAATAAAATACAACTCAATTTTTCCACATTTAAATGAACTAATATTACTAAAGCTAATTTCATTTCCCAAAAGCAATACTGAATTACTATATAATAAAGTACCAGCAAAAAGAAATTAAACAGAAGACGTTTTAAACAGAAACCACCATCGGGCTCCCTGCGCAGCAGGGAGTCTGCTTCTCCCTCTGACCCTCCCCCTCTCATGTGCGCACGCTCTGTCTCAATAAAATCTTTAAAAAAAAAATGTCAAAATCACTCCATTTGAAAGAAAGGATAAACATGTTAATTAAATGCTTGTATCCCCAACCAATAAATTATCACAAATCAATAAAATTCTAGACCAAGTTCTCAGGTCTTTTCCATGAAATAGATATTTACAATTTGTATTAGAACAGAATGTTGTTGAGAATATACTATTATCAAAGTAACCAAGACAAAGTTTAAAAGAAAAAGCTGTTCTGAGAACATCTAACTCAAATTAATGATTATTTAAGACATTATAGTGTAACACTAAGCAACAGGTTTCTTGCACGATCACTAATCAAATTCCTAACCAAGAAAATAATTACCTGTGAAGCTTGTACTATGATCGGCACTCCTAAAACACGTTGGCCAGTTAATCCTATTGCTAGAGGCACTGAGCTAACATCAACAAATTCCACATATGCAATTCCTTTGGAACGTCTTGAATTTCTATCAGAAATCATTCTCACATCTCGAACCTAAAAAGAAGACACACATTTAACGTAAGCTTCTGTTTATGCAACCCTTCACCATAAACCATTAAAGGAATTTTACTGATATGTGGTTTATGTACTTTTAAGTAATCTCTATGCCCAAAGTGGGGCATGAATTCGTGACCAGAGATTAAGAGTTGCATGTTCCTCCGCGTGAACTTGCCAGGTGCCCCCCAATGTTTTAAGTAAGTGAACTTGTCAGTCCACTTCTACTTTTAATGAGTATGTGATGAGTTATTAATTCCAACACTATTAATTTCCAACTGAGGCAAAATAGAAATGTTATGCAAAAGTTTCCCTAACTGAATTCTAAGTCAAAAGATTTGGTGTTTAAATATTCTCTAATTTAACCAGGCACACTGACAATTAAAAAGTTGTTCACAATTCCCATTTACTCGACCTCCCGAAATAGACTAAAAACTTACCTTTCCTACTGTAGAAAAAAACTCTTCCAAATCCCTTGGCCGAATTCTTGCTGCCAGCTGCATGCAGAAAACTGTCCTTGCATCTCTTTCCTCAGGAGTTAGATTATCAATAGGTTCCCTAACAGGAACAAAAAATAAACTTTATAAACTATATTCTTAAAATAACCTTATAAGGTTCGTTTTCAATAAACAAACTTTACCGGAAGTAGTCACTATTCCCAAGCCCATTTTCTTTTAAGATTTTATTTATTTATGAGAGAGGAAGAGAGAAAGCACGTGCACAAGCAGTGTAAGAGGCAGAGGAAGAGAGAAGCAGACTCCGCCCACTGAGCAGGGTGCCAGGTGATCATGACCTGTGGAAGGCAGACACTTAACTGTCTGAGCCACCCAGCTGCCCCTCCCAAGCTCATTTTCACCAAGATTTATACAAAATGTCCATAAAATAATTCAGTGTGACTCAATTCCTTCAACAAGATAGTTACTTAACGTTTCTTCTGCTTATATCTTACATGGTATCAGGACAAAAGTCCATTAGCATCTCAATCTTACAAATTGTAATTTCTGCAGAATAATAAAAGACCAATCCGAAGCCTGAGAGTTTAAGAATAGTCACAGAAAATAACGACTTACTAGCTACAATGTCAGAATGGTCCAAATTAGTGGAAAGGATGACTTTCCATAACAAAACAGTAAGACCATGAAGTGAAATAAAGTTTGACAATCATAGATGACCAACTTGAGATGGTGAGAACTATTTTATTCTGATTTTTCCCCTGAATTTTATTTAACAAATTGAGATAGATCTATGGAATCGTGGTTGTTTATTCTATCAAGTCTTACACTCTACAAATTTAGTATCCAAAGCAATGTTTCTTGATGGTTATAAAATACAGAAACAATACCCATATACAAATCAAAAATGAAAAGCAGGAAATTATCTAAATAAATACCAATAGTGGGATTCAATTTATTCATTCTTACACACAGCCTTGAAGATCAAGAGCCCTTATTATTATATAGAGGAAACTAAAGTGCCCAAGTAAAAGCATGAGATGAAAATTTCATGAATTTCAGGGAAAAAAACAGAAGTGCCTATTAATGTTACTTATTAAAAACCATCACTAAAGGTTAAGGTTCTAAGTGAAACCCTAAAGATAAAAGCACAAACATGCTCTTATCCACATTTCTGGACATTTTCAGGAAGGTCCTTTTGAAATATTCCACCTACAAAATTCTGGTACATTTCCTTGGCAAATCAGCAGGTAATTTCAAAGTATAAAACAGAGGTACAAAGCTAGACTACATCCAGAGAATGAGAAAACGGGATTTTCTTACAAGAGTAAATATTAAAGAGTGTAAAAAAAGCTCTAGGTTACAAAAAAAGAGCTTTTAAAATCATTAAGGTTTTCACATCAAATTCTAGAATTAGAATATACCAAATAAGGAACTCTAAGTTAAAAGGTGCCCTTTAAGGGAAGCCAGAAAGAGTATCAGTAAACAATGCTGCCATTTATCAAAAGTTTCCTTAAGCCAAAATAAATGGTAGCCTTCATAAGTGACTCTTATATTTAAGAGGAAAATAACTCACAAACATTTGATAACATAAGATTACTACTTAGAAACAAGTCAACTTGGTTAAGATTTTGGAAATTAAATACTTTATCTCAGTAAAGAGAGCCAGATTAATAAAACTCATGACTGTACAACCAATTTTCCCATGAGGTATTATAGTAACTCAAAATTTATTAATTCCAAAGATAAGCAGAGGCAAGTCTATTTAAAGTTTTCTATAATTACCATTATTTAAAAGGGATTTAAGAGCACATGCAGTACCTTATACCTTAAAATTGTAATCACTGCTCCGTTCTTATAGAAAATTAAAATGAAAACTTAAAACATCCACATTGATTTAACATAGTCCAAATTATTAAATATTAATAAATTTAACAATACATAAGTTGCAAAAGCTTTACAAAAGCTGAAAGTGCTAAAGATTAAAAAAAAAAAGGGACAACAGCTACCTCACGGGGCTCTTGTCTTTTCTGAATGGACTTTTGCTTCGAGAGCGTCGTCTGCTGCAAAGTTAAAAAGTTTCAGAAATTATCCAAACAAGTACACCACATTAGTTCCTTGAAAAACAATTTAAACAATTCAGAAGTATGTTTAAAAACCTTAATTTGATGCTATGAGGCAACCCAATCTTTCCTCGGATGGCACTGTTAAATTTTGGTCCGGAGCTAAAAAGGAAACACAAAATTACACTAGTTACAGGGTTAGGGTCTTGCTAAGACGCGTTCATGCGCTCTCCAGCAAGTTTAACATTGTTTAGGCTGATTTTTTTCCACCTCAATTATGAAGAGGAAATAAAAGACTCTTTTTTCTTAACTCTATCCCAGGCAACTGCTCTTAGAGTTATCCATCCTGGACCACGGAGAGGTGCCGAGACCAAAGGTTACAGCCTCAATGTTGTTAAGATTCTGAAAATTCTATCATTTTCAGTCTATTGTTTTTTCTTAATTACACATTTATGAATACATTCCTGAGGACTTTTTTTTTTTTTTAGAGTGAAAATAGATCACCCTGAATTTCCCTCACACCAGGAGTAACTACAGTTAACAATTTGGTGTGTATCTTTGCAGATCCGTTCCCAGGAATTTATGTATTTATATGTTTGTATATATACAAAATTCATACATAACGTTTTCTTGTTTGAGGAATTTTTAAAAGGGGACTAATTCTTTATTATCGTGAAACTCCCAACTATTCCATTTAACAGTATGTCTCAGAGACTGCATGAAAGCAGTCTGTGTCATATTTCTGTGACAAAATATTCCATAGTAAAGATGTGAAGAAAATAAATTAGTATTTCAAAAGTTTTTTGTGAACTTGACATAATAAATGAATATTTTCAAAAGACATCGTAACATTTTTCTAAGATCCAGTTTTATTCTGAATTCTAAAAAGGCCTAATAGTTTTGGGGCCTTTTTTTTAATTTTGAAAGACCAAATTAACTTAAAGGACAGGTCAGATGTCCCTTAGTGCTCATCCTACTCTCCTTTTCAAGAAGGGTAGCAAAATCGAAGTATCTAGTGGTATGTGTTCCACATTTGGACTCATTTTCATGGACTCTAAGCAAACCTGCCGACACCCAAGCAGCTCCAAATAAATTTTATATTAATTGGGTCCTTCACAATTCAGACTAATAATCACAATTAAGAATATAAATTTACCAAATTAGATATCACATGAACTACACATAAGAACTAAATCATTTTTAAGTCAAACCAGAATTATAGGCCGACTTCAAATATTCATCACTAAAACAAGAGATAAATACAGAATTTATTATGGTAATCCCTTTCCTCCTATTTAATTAATTCTGGTAAAAACAAGTATGATAAGTCTTAATAAATTAGATCAAAAAAGTATTATTTAATCATTCAGAATTAAAACACTGTGGTCCGCTTTCAGCTCTTAAATGTTTGTGAAATAAGCAGCTAGCAGGAACTTAAGAGAACAAGAAGCCAGAATCAGAACCCAAAGTGTTACTAATTTTAATGGCTTCCAATAATACCCAAGCATTTCATGAGTAGCAATTAAGTATTGTGGGTCCTTTATTTTCATTCTCTTGTCGATTCAATACTCATTAAAGTTCATCTGTCAGTTGTTACCTCTTTCTTAAAAGATGAGAAAATTAAATCTCAGAGTGTTAACTTGTCCAAGTAGAAGAATCAAAACTCTTATTCAGGTCTGTTTGTCTTTCAAGTCCATTTCCAACCATTCAAGTTAGGAGTGCTAATTTTAATACATTCCCCCACAGTTTACAACAATATATTCATTAAGAAGAAAGAACAAGGTTAAAAAGGGCTAAGGACTGCTAGATTCAATCCTTGCCAAAGAGTTGTAGGTACGTTCCTTCCAAACTTAACATAGCTTTTTAAATGACATACTAGAACATGTTTCCAACTTGTTAAACCAGTCAAATTTCCATAGTGATTTCAAAGCACTTTAGTGTTTTACTGTTTTTAAAAACCTTAAATATAAATGTGATGAGCCCCAAAATTCATCATTATCAAGGAGCATACACCAAATTCACAAAGGATCTGTCATTTCAGCTGAAAAACAGCCAAATTACGTATTTGCCTATTTGTATTTATTTGAGCTCTAAAACTTTAAATTTATGTTCAGCAAAGAATATCTGAAATAGCTCACATACTTTTAAGCTTTCAAATATTTGGCACTACAATATCAAGTCTTTTAAGCACTCTAGTGCTTTGGTCTAGTTTAGACTGGCATACAGTTAAAATATTTTAGATGGAATAACAAACAGTATGCCTAGTAAAACAAAAGTTATGTATTGGTCCACACACTATATTTCTACTTTGCTAGTCTTTTCAATGCCAATATCCTTATTTAATCCTTTTTAACTAGTCATATCGAAAAACAAATTTTACAATGCAAATTACGCAGGTTTGTTTTCTGGATACCCAGAGAATGACTCTCAAACCAAAATCATCATAATTATAGTTACATACTAAGGACTTCTGTAGCGGCCTCTGAATCTGCGATCTCGACTTCTTGAACGGCTCCGTCTCCTTTCTTTGCTCCTACTTCGCTTCCTTTCACGGCTTTTGCTCTTTTTCCTTTCTCTATCTCTACTTCGTTTCCGTTCCTTACTTTTGCTTCTTTTTCGTTCATGACTACGACTTCTGCTCTTGCTTTTTTTCCTCCTGAGAAGAAAAAAAATTACCATTATCTTGCTAGTTTAAGAAACTGTCAAAATATACTTCCTTTTATGGTCAGAAATCTTTTTAAATCTTTTTGTAAGTTTATCTTGCTATTTTTACTATTATACAATGATACATAATCATACTTATGGAAAAATAATTCCTAGGTAAGGTAAATAGCACCCCACCTTTGCCTTCTACTACTGAAAATCAGCAGTCAGTTGACAATCAGTTGAGAGAACTATAATGATCGCTCCTGAGACCTGAGAATCAGTTACAATGAAATCATTTGTTGGGGGGTAGATAAAAACCTGAACCTTTAAATAGTTTGACAAACATGTAACTAGCCAACGAGTTATTACTGTAATCCACTAGATACAGTAATAAAAATCAAAGTTACAGTAGAATATATTAACATTTAAGTAATAGTGGGTCATATAAAAAATTTTTCATTAAAACCACTAACTTCCTTTATGTGAGCCAATTTTTACTCAATCTACACATATGAATATTTTCTACTTCAAAGGGTCATACAAGCATCAATACTTTGGTTTTCATGGGCAAACTTACAAGTACTGACAAAGAACGATAAAACTAACGCAGTAACATGCATTCTGACACACCTAGACTTTTGTGACCTTTTCAGATGTATCTAAAGTTATAATGAGTACACCAGAAAATGGGAGCATGCCAGTTTATACAAGCCTGTGGGGGTGCAATCAAAAACAAGGATCAACACCTTTATCAATCTTTATAAAATCTCAAATTCTGGAAAGTAAAAAAGCCAGTCAGTCATATCTTTCTGTTCATTTCTGTATTCCTCACAGTATACCACCCATTCATTTTGTAATTAAATCTTACCATCTGTACCTCTGTCATCACCCAAATTTTAGAGGTGCCTTCAGATATTTCAATATAAATTCAAAAACATTTAAAAATAAACTTATTCCACTAAAATGTCAATTTGTAGTGGCTAAAAAGATAATTAAACATTTTGACAACTCTACATCATTTGGAAAATTTAAACTCTTTAGTCCTTATCAAAGCAAAGTTAGCACAAGAGCAACTGAAGTCTGCCTCAGAGAACCTGTAAGCAGGTCATCTTAGAGTGCATTGAAAATAGAAAATGAAGACACCCACCTTCTGGAATCTTGAAACCCACACTCCAATCACAAGGAGATGTAGAGCTTTCCAAGGAGGCAGAAACTTTGTCTAAAATTTCAAGATAATCCACCTGACTGTCAGAAATGTATATGCTAGGTAGCACATGACAGAAAATTAGGCTACACTCATTATTTATATAGAAGTCATCAAAGCAATGCCCAGAAGGGCAACAGATTACATTCCAACTTTGTTGCCTGAAACACCTGACACTATGTCTTAGCCTATGAATTCTGTGAGATAGCTATAATCGGAAGTCCTACATATAATCAATCAGGGGACAAAGTAACTCCATCCCCCACAAAGGACAGACAAATAAAGTATTGCTCTGCTCATAGAAGGCCCACAGCAGAGAGGCAGCCAACCTCCCAATATACCTTTTTGTAGGCCCAAAACTTATTCTGCCAAAGGAAAGGACTGGAAAATCGGAAAGCTAACTTCAACTAAAAGTCTTCCTAGAACTTTTTACAAATGAGTCCCCACCCACATCTGAAGGCAACCCCAGACAGGTAAAAACACAGCAACATACTAAGACATTCAGAAGCACGATCCTCTTCATAAAAGCCCAGACAAAAATTTAAGCAAACAATATTCTTCTCTATAACAAAATGCAACTTGAAAGAACATTAACTAAAGAAGGGTTATCAAAATCCACACTAATAGTCAAATCCTGTTACAACTTAAAAGGGACTTTCCAAAGTCTTTAGTGGCAGTGGAATTTTGTACTGAACATCATTGAAGTAAATGGTCCACTGGGCTGGGCCTTTGGACTTTTTGGTTATATGGCCTCTGCTGTAAAGGTGTTTTGCTATAACTGGATTTGACCTCTTCCATGTAAGAAGATCTAAAATTTAAATGCAAAGTACTCTGGAAAATAAGAAAAAAAATAGAAAAGTCATTTATTCCAAAATTTATAATCCACACACAGTAGCCAATATATTTCAACTGTGTCATTTTATTGTTATCCTTTTCTGAGTAATTTCTAAAGAGCTTAACTGGACACTGGTTTAGACTTTCCAAAAATGGTTACACTAACAAATCATACTCCCATGAAGGCAAGCTCAGATACTTAAAAGGTATACTTTGAGGTCTTGCCAAACTCAGGGGTATAGCTCTTCAGAAAGAAGGCTAACTGATAACCAATTTGTGTTATATTTAACTTATTTCCTTCTACTACCACCAAAATACAACTGAGTGTACGTACTGAGAATCAGAACTATTTTTAAAGAAAACGTTTACTAGTTGGTAAACTCAGTTTCTCAGAACGTGCATTTTCTTACTACCTTAAAACTATATCCCAACACTCAACTGCTTTTAAGACAATGAAGTTTTAGGATGAAAAATGCAACGTGGCACTTTAAGAGAATTTATGCAGAACACTAAAGCACAGCATACTGTATTTGTTTTACGTTTTATCTAACCTTAGATACAAATTTTCTTCTAGATAACTTTGAAATTAATTTGAAAGATCAATTCCCTTTAGAAAAATGGGTGAGAAGTTCCTGACTGAAAAAAGCCGTTTATTTAATTAAGCAGCTTTAACTGAGAATGAGAAGTATGACAGAAACAATTTGTACATTTAAAAAGATACTAGACGGTAGTTGGGATGTTTCAAAAGGACATTCCCTTAAATTGGCTATCCTATAGCCAATGAAAGAAAATTTTCCATTCTTCTATTCAGTGTCACAAGACCATTTACATTAAATAAAGGCCACAAAGCATCAGTCTCTTGATGCTACATTTCCTGTAAAAGCTTGGTAGCCTTAATGAGCTTAGATGCAGAATGAAAACAAGTATCAACTGGAGATCGAGTTAGTAGCAAGGAGTGACATCTGAGAATGGCCGAACAAAGAAAACTCTGTGCCCAAAGTGCATATCCTCATTCTTTTGGTACTTAGGGTGAGATCTTTACCCACCCAACAGGCCTGATACCTAGACTGGATCATTTCAATTTATGTGGATACTCCTTCCTAGGTTTTCATTACAAATTGGGATTTAAAACCGTTAATTAGGAAACTTACTTTGGTAAAACGTCTTAAAACCAGGTGACATTAAACCATGCAATAATTGGTTGAATTGCCTTAAACCGTAACAATTCAAAACTAAACCCCATGTGATTAATTCCCACAATCTGTTGTGATTGGACTGTAACAGATCCTCTACCCAACTTTGAACAAAAAAAAGTAAGACATTTTCTACAAACTGCATCATTTTAAATCCATTACATTTTTAGGGGAATTTTAAGAATAAAAAAAACCAGCGTTAACAAAGCCTGCATAATCCAATCTAAGAATTTTCTCATCAACCTACCTAACAAAGTTGTGAGGAGGTTGAGGTAGCGTATTATGAAGCATTTTGAGCTCTCATTAAAGAACCAAAAAAAAAAAAAAAAAAATCAAGAGGCTATGTTTTCATTTTATTAGTTTTTCATTAGATGGGGTCATGTACGTGACAAGTTATTTTAATGATATCACAAAATAGGCTACTAAAACAATTTAATGCTTGTAACATGACCACGTGATGTTAAGAATCACTAATTTTTAGAGCAGAAAATACTCCAAAAATAGGATCTGACTTTATAAAGTGGTTCTGGCTTATACTGTCATTGAGACTTATCATATACTGTATTCTATACTAGTCTGTAGCACTGAGTTCCTGTTACGGTTACACATTTGACCTAGTAAATAACATTAATATGCACAATTTTTTAAAAAACTCCATTTTCAACATTTAAGTCTATTAGAGTTTAAAAAGCTTAAGACAACAAAAGCCATGTAAAGCACCTAAAAAGTACTTAAGCATGCTATAATGTTGCTACAAAAAGGGCCTTTAAGCAGCAAGGAGCATCAATATAATTCACAGCTCTGACTCCTTCCGTGATTTAGAGCAAACAGTATTTTCCATGGGCTGGTTATCTGTTGATAACACACCACCAAAACATTAAGCTAAAGTTTATAAATTTAAGACAAAAGACAAACTCTAATACAGGAACTCTTATCCAGATTGTCATGGATAGACTTGGAAGGGAAGGTGCCCAAAAGGTCCCTGAAACTAATCCTGAAATCTAGGGAAAGAATCCATAGTTTCATATCCTCAAATAGTTTCTCATTCCTTAAAGAACAACTTTTCTAAGAGAGACAAGGAAAAGCTTCTGAAGAGAACTTTTAGTTTGATGCTACAGCCACAGGAACACAACTTATGATCTCAATCACATAAGGGTCCCCCCACCCCAGGTCCCTTCTTATAACTTACTTTTTGCTACGTTCTTCATGGCCGTTAGCACTGCTCAACTTGTTCTCATCCTAAGCAGGGTTGATAGAAGAACATCATGAGGACGAAGTGGTAACATTTCAAGTTGTCAAAGGGTAAAGGGAATAGGAATAAGAAAATACAAAACAATTTTAAAACTAATTACTTGTTTATAGTTTAACATGGAAGGCTATAAAAAAATTTAGATGGGTATGTGTTTAACCACTTTGTTGCTTACAATTAAGTCATCAAGATACAAAAATAAAAATGCATATTAACATGTTAAATTTTACTTTCTTATATAGTTAGATATTAAGTTATCCAGATTTACAGGGTTGAAGTGGTTAAAGAGAATTTCTATAAAACATGAATGAAGTCCTGTTTTGAGTTTTATTCCATGTGCTATGGTCCCTTTGGTCAGTACCATGGCTCTATTTCTGCCTAAGCCCCAAGTGGCCATGCTAGCAGCCAGCCACTATCGATTTCCTGTGACCGATGCCATTCCTGAGATCTTCGCCCATTTCCGTTGGAGGGTTGGGACTGTAAGAGCTTGATGCCACCTCTGTCACACATCTCGCCCTGAAGCAAACAGGGATTCACACTGCTTTAGTAATGTTGACTCCCAAGAACCCAAGAAAGTCAATTAATAATCCACCAGTCCAGCCTAAACATTTCCTACTTCCATACCTGTTTACATGGAATTACATCCATGTTAAACTAAGACACAAGAATCTTAACATTAAAACAGAAAGTTCTTCAAGAGTCTAAGCATTATAAAACTACATACACTATTTAAACTAAAAAGAATTCTTCCAAATTGGTACCACATGGTCGTGCTATACACTCCAAAAACAGATGTATTATTTCAAAAGGTTTAGCGCAATGTTTATTTTTAAAGTTTGATCACATCAGTTATAGAAGTGCTAACTCACAAAGCTTACAGTTTGCGACACCAGTGATAATGCATGCATACTGCTATTTTCACCACCAACTGGTGAAAGAATGAAAAGACACTTTACTTTTACTGTGATACTGAAATGGGTCAGACTATACTACTAGCCAAAATAATTCCTTTGTAGCTTTTAGTGTGAAATATTATGGCAGGGACTAATTAAAAATAAAACAACACGGAGCACAGTAAAACAGTCATCAAGTGACTCTAAGTTGTGATACTGCCTCCTTTGCTTTAAAAAAATTTTCAGGGATCCAAGAATTTCAGTAGTTTTTAACTGAGCAGATCATCACCTGCCTGTTTCATTATTTACTATCACCAGTCATATATATGTATATAGAAAAAATTTTTAAATCTCACCCATTTCTTGTAAAACTTAAAGATTTGCTTGCCACAGACTGGTTATGCTTTGTTATTCTTGGACCCCTGCTATTTTCCCAAACCACTACATTCACCTTTTTGCTATACCAAACTGGAGCTGGTAATTCTTAGTTGAGTCATTTTACCTAGGGGACCACGGTACAGCGATAAGTCACTCAATTACTACCTTATGATTGACAGTTCACACTGGAATCAAAGGTGAATTCATGGGAGTAGAGGTGAGATATCGTTAGGCAAGTCTACAAAGAGAGATAGATGGGCATTTATTCATCACGCTGAAGTGAAACTACTGCACAATATTATTACATCAATAGCATATATTTACTTTTGTAAGTTACACGTAATGCATCTCTGATAAGATAAATCAAGAGGGCTCCGGGGAGGTTAGTTTACATTTCAGCAGTAGTTTCGTGATAATGCTAAATTAAGAAATATATAAACCTCACCGACATTTTTTTTCTCACCTTCTTGTAAGGAGCCTCAAGCATTGCTTCAATATCAATATCGTCTGCCATTCTCTCTAAACGTCTAGAAAATAAGAAAGGTAATTCAGTGAGTAAACATTTTTCAATTCCGATTAGTCTCCCCCTTACGCGACAAACTCCGAAACTTCAGAAAAACCTTCAAAAAGCCCTGGAATGACTAAAGTGGCAGGATGCACTTTACCAGTCTTAGTAATTAAATCTGAAATGTCTCCAAGACTAAACACACAGAAATACATTAAATATACGATTAAAAAAAAAAAGCCCACAATTAACTGCAAAAACAGAACCCGCGCGCAATGAGTAAGAGCGCCTCTTTCCGCGCAAAACCCGCGCTGCCATTTTAGGGGCAAAGGGAAACTCCCTCGGTTGGGAGGGGTTGTGTGCCATGGTAGCGTTCGGCTGGCGCCATGTTGGGAGGTCGCGGCCGGCCAGGCCTGGAAGGAACCGGTCGCCATCCGCCCGAAGCCTCTCTGGAGTCCCTGCCACCCAAGAACCCTGAAATCTGCACGACCGGAAAATAAGGGCGCGGTCGCTGAAATGGAGCCGATTTCTCGAGCCCCCCCCCCCGAGTCGTTAAAGACCGCCTAAGGAATGCCCCTCAAACCAGACCTCTGAAAAGCTCTGACAATACACAGGCTTGCGACATCTCCTTACCTGTGCGGGCTTTCGGGCCCCTGGGGTGCTTGTATTCGGAAAAAGGGGTGCTGCTGCTGCTGCCGCTGTTGCTACTGTTAAGCCGCTAGGCCCAGGCCGAGGTTCCGCCCAGCCCGAATTTCGGGCTCCGAGGGCGGATAGGCCCGAGCGAATCTAAAAGAAACAATGGGATTAGAGGAGCCCGCGCGGAAGTTCAGGACGGCGGCTTCGGCAGCTCAGGATCCACCCCTGCGACAGCTTCAGCAAGCTCTCTGAAATGGCGGCCGCTGCTTCCCCGTACTCACATCCACCAACACACATACACACACACAAACACACGGGGCCTCACAGAGCTCTCAGCACGGGCTCTCGCGAGAAGCTGCCTCTAGATCCAGACAGGAGCAGCTGAAATATCGCGAGATATAAGCATGGCCCCAGCGACCATGGCCCAATCTCGCGCAATGATTGCGCCACAGATATTCCCATCCCCCACTCAGAGCGGAGCCTTCGACACCCCCTCCACATAAGACATCCGTATCTCGCGAGACCGCGCAAGACGCTAGAGCAAAGACAGTTGGTACACTTCCTGTCAATCTTTTCAAAAACTGAACGCTGAGTGGAGCTCGGTGGTCACCTCCTCCTTGTGGCGCCTCCTCACAGCTATCTGAAGGTTTCTCTCCCAGAGCTGACCGCTTCTCCCCTCCCCCGGGCCTCCCATCCTGGTGTGTGTCAAGGTCGCCATAAGGGAACCTACTCCATATGGCGATAGAATACAACGAAAACCGTCAGGTATAGATTATCCCCCAAGAGTGAAGAAGTGAAAAGCATGTAAAAGAGAAGGCAAAAGGAGACCGTACGGGGTTCGGAGGCTATGGGTGTAGAATAAAAATTAGATATTCCGGCCTTTTGGAGCCAGTGGACTAGGTACGACTAACTAAAGACCCTTGGAAATAGTGGAGAAAAGCAAAGAGAAGGTGAAAAAACAAACTGCTTCCCTTGGCAATGGATCTTCTTTATGCCCTGGATTTTACGGTCTGGCCTTGTGTCGGGTTGCTATTGTTTCTTCAAAAATGTCCCCCATTCCCTTGGGACTTGGCTTCTTGCCCTTTAAGTTTCCCAAATACCTTGCAGTTAAGAGTATAAAAGCACCACCTGTTCTCTCGTCAACACTGTGAAAAAGAAGAGGCAGCAGAGAGGTTGTGGACTATAAGGCTTTTTCCTCCAAGATAAAAATACTTGAAAAAAATATTTGAAAAACATCAGAGGACTTACAACCAAAAAATCTTATAGATAAGTCTATTAACAGCTTAGCGATTGAGGGTTAAGATTTGACATGAGATAATTTGGTTCTTGTAAGCTGCTCCAACACTGTGTGACCTTGGACAAGTAAATTAATCTCTCAGAGCCTATCCTCCATTTCCTCTTATGAAGAAGGGGGTAGCATAATTACTAGGCTAAGCTTCTTGAGATTGACCTAGGCTGATAATGCTCAGGTTGATAATGCTCACTACTGAATTCTCAGTGCTTAGCCTGGTGCCCAGCCAGGAGGACACTCAATAAATGAATGAAGACCTAATAGGCATATAGTGAGGATTAAATGAGATAGTGTCTGTAAAGTACCTGGCAAATATTTAATCCTCAGAAAAGTTAACTTCTATTATTGCTAAACAATTATTTAGAGGAAATGTAAGTGTACAGGGACTTCACTCTTCTGGTTAATATTCCACACAGGTGTTTTCTCTTAGAGGATTAATAGATGTTACATAGTAATATTCCCTTACTCCTTTTCCTGAAAATTCAGATCCTCTTTCAAATTTTTTAAGTATTGAAAATCATTACAGAACATTAAAGCATAATATGCTCAAGCTAACAAAAAAACAAAGCTGGGCGCCTGGGTGGCTCAGTTGGTTAAGCGACTGCCTTCGGCTCAGGTCATGATCCTGGAGTCCAGGGATTGAGTCCCGCATCGGGCTCCCTGCTCAGCAGGGAGTCTGCTTCTCCCTCTGACCCTCCCCCCTCTCATGTGCTCTCTCTCTCTCATTCTCACTCTCTCAAAATAAATAATAAATAAAAAAAAAAAAGCTAACCTTTGCCTTCTCTTTGCCCCTTTAATTCTTTTATTGTGACTTGTTAATTGTGCAAATATCAAACCAAAAAGGTGGTCGCTTAAAAATTTTTTTGTTTGGGAACATGACAACACAATTTGACTTTAACCTCTAGACTTATTTGGGAATAGGAAAGTTTTAAGCTTTCAGTCACTTGATTACTGAATATCTCTTAAATTGTTTTCTGTTCAAGGATGATCAGAGTGAACCTGGAAATTTAGAGCACGATCAAGAAACACCAGCTGGAAAACTCTTCTCTAAAACAAAAGTATTTTTTATGTTTAAAAGAAAATATTAACATAATATGTTTTTCTTTTTTTTTTTAAGATTTATTTATTTATTTATTTATTTATTTGACAGAGAGAGACAGCTAGAGAGGGAACACAAGCAGGGGGAGTGGGAGAGGGAGAAGCAGGCTCCCCGCTGATCAGGGAGCCTGACGCGGGGCTCGATCCCAGGACTCTGGGATCATGACCTGAGCTGAAGGCAGATGCTTAACGACTGAGCCACCCAGGTGCCCCAACATAATATGTTTTTCATTCATTTTGCAAAGCCCGTCTCTGTCTGGCTTATGGACAGTCTGTGTAAATTAATTCCCCTTTCATCGTTTTGTTCTCATTTGAACCAGAACGTCATTGGTTTAAATCATCTCCACCATCAAAAATATTATTCTGTTTTATAACTTATAGAGAAGAGGTCACAGAATAGCCAAAAGCCTGGAATAGAGGAGGTAATAGATAGAGAATTTGACTTTAAATTTAAAATATTTTGCCAATGTCAGGACACCTGGCTGGCTCAGTCTGTGGAGCATGCAACTCTTCATTTCAGAGTTGTGAGTTCGAGCCCCATGTTGCACGTAGAGATTACTTAAAATATTAAAAATACGTTCTGCCAATGATTTTTGATATCAATGTATGACTTTTATGGGCAGAGAGTGCTATTTTTGATGCTTGCATTTTTTTTAAATTAAGTAGGTAGGTTCCACACCCAGCATGGACCCCAATGCAGGGCTTGAACTCAACAACCCTCAGATCGAGATCTGAGCTGAGACCAAGTCAGATGCTTAACTGACTGAGCCACACATGCGCCCCTGCATTTTTTTAAACAAATGTCTATTTTATTTTTTAAAAAAGATTTTATCTATTTATTTGACAGAAAGAGAACACAAGTATGCAGAGCAGCAGACAGAGGGAGAGGGAGAAGTAGGCTCCCCACTGAGCAGAGAGCCTGAGCAGGGCTCCATCCCAGTACCCTGGGATCATGACCTGAACCAAAGGCAGACACTTAACCAACTGAGCCACCCAGGCGCCTGCATTTTTCTTAAGTAGGCTCTACACCCAGCATAAGGCTTAAACTCATGACCCCAAGATCAAGAGTTGAATGCTCTACAGACTGAGGCAGCCAGATGTCCTTTGATACTTGCATTTTAAAAATTAATATTCAATTTATAAAATAAGTGCATTTTAGAGGCGCCTGAGGGCTCAGATGGTTAAGCGTCTGCCTTCGGCTCAAGTCATGATCTCAGGGTCCTGGGATCAAGCCCCACATTGGGCTCCCTGCTCAGCTTCTCCCTCTCCCTCTGCCTGCTGCTTCCCCTGCTTGAACACACTCTCTCTCTCTCCGTCAAAAATAAATAAAACCTTTTAAAAAAAGGGCATTTTAATAGTTATCTTTAAAACTTAAAGACTCACAATTTTAAAATTGTATTTATGAAGCAAGAATTCTAAAATCACCTTCACTTAATCCATTCAAGTTGAGCATGGGACATCAGGCTCCTTGCTCGGTGGGGAGTCTGCTTCTCCCTCTGCCTGCTGCTGCTTGTGCTCTCTCTTTCTCTCTCTCTGTCTCTGACAAATAAATAAAATCTTTAAAAAAAATAAATAAAATGTATGTTCATTGGCTCCCTTGGTTTTTTTGTTTGTTTGTCTTTTTTAAGATTTTGTTTATTTATTTGACAGAGAGACACAGCGAGAGAGGGAACACAAGCAGGGGGAGCGGGAGAGAGAGAAGCAGGCTTCCCACAGAGCAGGGAACCCAATGTGGGGCTCAATCCCAGGACCCTGGGATCATGACCTGAGCAGAAGGCAGATGCTTAACGACTGAGCCACCCAGGCGCCCCTTTTATCATTTTTTTTGTCATTTTTTTTTAATGTCAGTTCTACACCCAACATGGGGCTTGAACTCACCATCCCAAGATCAAGACTTGCACACTCTACTGACCGAGCCACCCAGGCACCCCCTTTAATCATTTTAACATGTTGTATTGTTTTTGAGCACTTCAACTTACCCAAGTATGTAAACAATTCTTCTAAATCCAAGATATTAAAATTATAGAAGGGTGCCTGCTGGCTCAGTTAGTAGAGCATGTGAATCTTGGTCTTAGAGTTGTAGGTTCAGTCCCATGTTGGATATAGAGATTACTTAAAAAAAAAATTTTTTTAAGAGATGGAGGGGGGGGCGCCTGGGTGGCTCAGATGGTTAAGCGTCTGCCTTCGGCTCAGGTCATGATCCCAGGGTCCTGGGATCGAGTCCCGCATCAGGCTCCCTGCTCAGTGCAGAGCCTGCTTCTCCCTCTCCCTCTGCCATTCCCCCTGCTGTGCTCTTCTCTCTAACTCTCTGTCAAATAAATAAATAAAACCTTTAAAAAAAAAAAAAAAAAGAGATGGAGGGGGGTGGAGGAGCAGAGGGAGAAGGAGAGAGAGAGAATCTCAAGCAGGCTCCATGCCCAGTGCAGAGCCCAATGTGAGGCTCAGTCTCACAGCCCTAAGATCTGACCTGAGCCAAAATCAAAAGTCAGATCCTCAGCTGACTGAGCCACTGAGGCACCCTAAAAATAAAATCTTAAAAAAAATTACAAATATAGTTAGTCTTAAAATTTCTTAAAATTTTCTGATGTGTGGGGTGCCTGGGTGGCTCAGTTGGTTAAGCCACTGCCTTCGGCTCAGGTCATGATCCTGGAGTCCCGGGATCGGGTCCCGCATCGGGCTCCCTGTTCGGCGGGGAGTCTGCTTCTCCCTCTGACCCTCTCCCCTCTCATGCTCTCTCTCTATCTCATTCTCTCTCTCAAATAAATAAATAAAATCTTAAAAAAAAAAATTTTCTGATGTGGTCTCCTATACCTTTCCACATAAAATCACAAATCTCAATCACTCAATCATACATATTTAACTAGAATCTTTAGTATGCAAAATTCTCTTAAACATTACAATTTAATTTATAAATATATACAAA